GACGAATGCAACTAACTGGATGTGGTTAGATGGAGCCGAAGCCGTCACTCAGCAGCAGCAGCGGCCACCGGGTCCAACCATCAGAAAGAAGTAGTGGCTCGTGAGGGGATGAGCAGGCGGCTCACCGTGCAGCCCCGTCCATCTTTGACCGTCTTCCTCCTCAGATGCGCCACTTGAGATGGAAAGATGCGACGCCGAACTTCTTCGAGAGGCTCTTGGAGGATTGGAATAGAATGAGGAGTCCGCACAGCCGCACACCGCACCGACACACGCAAAACGTGCTCGAGATCTGCACCGTGCGAGCTTTCTGTGAAACGCAGAGCAGTTCTGGTGTTGGCTTGGACTTTTCGTGACCTTTTCTCCCGTTTTCGAGGCCTATCCGCACGCAGCTTCTGTCCGGCTTTTGCATCCATCGCTAAAGGCAGGCCGCCCGGTAGGCTTCCCTTTCGCTCTTCTCGCAGCGCAACGCACAACGCTCCCTTGACCCATCCGTCCATCCATCGCCAGCACATCCGTCCGTCAACACACATGGCAGCAGCGGCAGGGCAGTTGGCGGAGCACAACAACAAGCGCGACGCCCAGCAGGCCGAGTTGGCTGAGGGTGAGGGGGAGGATGGTGGCCATGGCGTCATCACCCCGCTGGAGCACCTGCATGCGCACGGCTTCACGGCCAAGGGCTTGACGTGCTTGAAGGAGGCTGGGTACGCGACGATCGAGGCGGTGGCGTACGCGTCGTCGCGTCAGCTGCAGCAGGTCAAGGGCATATCGGAGCAGAAGGTTGCGAAGCTCAAGGAGGCCGTCAAGGGGCTGGTGCACATGGGCTTCTCGTCCGCCACCGAGATCAACCTCATGCGCCAACAGATCGTCAGACTCCACACAGGCGCCGCTGACCTCGACGCGCTACTCGGCGGCGGCATGGAAACCGGTACGTACGTGCGTCACCGGGAGGGAGGGTGGGCGGTGCGCAGGGAAGCAACTGCGCGCATGTGTGTGGTGTGGTGTGGTGTGGTGTGGTGTGTGCGCTTTGTGATGTGTGGTGTAGGTATGTTGACTGAGGTGTTTGGCGAGTTCCGTTCGGGCAAGACGCAGCTGTGCCACACGTTGGCGGTGACGGCTCAGCTGCCGGTGGAGCAGGGCGGGGCCGAGGGCAGGGTGGCATGGATCGACTCAGAGGGCACCTTCCGCCCGGAGCGCATCACAAAGATAGCCGAAGGTTTCGGTGAGTGAGCGGCTGAAAAAGTGGGTGCATTGCACACACGGTGTGTGCAGCGTGTGTCCATCTGCGTGTTCTCATTGGTGTGGTGTGTGGTCCATTGTGGTCCATTGTGGTGTGTCAGGTTTGGACGCTGAGCAGGTGTTGGAGAACATCACGTATGCGCGTGCGTACAATGTGGAGCACCAGACGGAGCTGCTGGTGCAGGCGGCGGCCCTCATGATCGAGACAAGATTCGCACTCCTCATCGTAGACTCCGTCACCGCACTCTACAGATCAGAATACCAGGGACGCGGACAGGTAGGTGGGTGCGTGTGTGACGGGACGGCCAGCCAGCGATCCATCCACACGCCAAACCACCTGTCATGTCACTCATCCACACAATTGTGTGTGTGTGTGTGTTGTGTGTTCAGTTGGCTGACCGTCAGGGGCACCTCTGCCAGTTCCTCAGAAAGCTGCAGAGGATGGCCGATGAGTTTGGCGTCGCTGGTCAGTGGCCAACGAGAGAGAGAGAGAGAGAGGAGGTGACGACACTGCACCCACCCCAGGCATCTGTGTGTGTGTCTGTGTGTCTGCGTGTGTGGGTGGATGGATGGATGGATTGATGGCTGGATGCAGTGGTGTACACGAACCAGGTGGTGGCGACGGTGGACCCCATGGCGGTGTTCCGCGGGGGGGAGGACAAGAAGCCCATCGGGGGGCACATCATGGCCCACGCATCGCAGACCCGCCTCTACCTCAGAAAGGGCAAGGGCCAGAACCGCGTGGCCAAGATCTACGACTCGCCCTCCATGCCCGACAACATCGACGCCAAATTCGCCATCACCGACGAGGGCGTCACCAAGGAGATCAAGGACAAGGACAACAAACAACAGAAGAAAAAGAATGACGACGAGTGATCAATCCGTCGCCATTCTTCTTCCTCTTCTGTCTTTTGTTGTCCTTGTCCTAGTGATCAATGAATCTCACCGTACCTACACACACACATGGGTGGGTAGATGGATGCATTGCAATGAGTGGAGGGATCGAGGCGGGAGGCAGCCACGGCAGGTGGGCAGTCAGTCAGAGACAAGACACACTGACTGATGTCGGGTGCGTTGCCTCTCCCGATGGACGGATGGATGGATGGGTTGGCTCATGCACACTGACACCTGCCTGCCTACCTACTCTCCTCTCTACCTGTTTGTTCATCTGACTGTCCGTGTGTGTGTGTGTGAGTGTGTGTGGACCGATGTGATTGACTGCCTGAGGGAGGGAGGTCTCGATTGGTCTCTCCGTGTCTGTCTGCACGTATGTATGCCTAAGTAGCTCCCCTTTTTGACCCCACAGAAAGAAGACGGCCGGACGGGTGCAGGGCATGGATGGGCGTCAGCAGTAGCCTCGGGTCTCTCTCAGAGCGGTCTCGGCGTCCACATGCGCACAGACCACTCTGAACAGCCTTGCGTCAACTGCTGACGCCATCCATCCATGCCGCTTGTCTGTGTGCAGATCGGACGGCTGGCTGCCTCACTTACTGGCCGGCTGGAGAGTAGATGGACGGATGTGATGGACGGATGGCCGCATGGCATGGCCTCCGATCCTTACGCGAGACAGACAGACAGACAGACCGCTCGTGTGTCTTCATGCATGTATGTGTGTGTGTTTCCCTTGATTGTACAGCCCCCCAGCTTTTTCGCCCCTCGTCTCTGTGCATAGCTCGCGCGAGTGTGCGCATGTCATGTCTGTGTGGTGGCTTTTCTTCTGACCGTTCCATCCAGTGCCCCTGCGTGGATGCGTCTGCATGGCATGCACCCACTGCCGCACCGCCCGTGGCCGGCCGGCCACAGAGAGAGACCAATGAATGACCCACCCGCTACCCCGCTGACCCGCTTTGCCCCACCCAGCGCTCTACTCCGTCTCTCTCTCTCTCTCTCTCTCTCTGTGATGCCGTTGACACACAGACCGACAGAGAGATCCTTAGCGTGCGTGGCCGGCCCGGTCTTGTGGGTGAAGTGCGTGTGTGTATGGATGGATGGATGTATGGATGTGTGGGTGTGGACGTGGTGCATCTTATCTATCTATCGCACCATGTGTGTGGACGAATCAACTGACATTGCAAACGAAATTCTTCAGCTCGATGAAGACCGTGTCATGAGCTCAGGCACGCCCATTGATCCGTCCGTCCATCGCGTCGACTGTCTGCACATGTGTAAGTGTCTGTCTCTCTACTCTGCCTCTAAGACCAGCCGACCGACCGACCGACCGACTGACTGACTGCAATAGATTGCGGCTACCCATCGCTGCACTTTGTCATTCCTTCCTCGATCACTCAAACACAGACGAACAGTCAGACAGACAGACAGACAGCGATCCTCGGAAGACTGTACACAGCTGCAACCACCAACCACCCCCACGCAGGGTCGCCGCCCCGCACTTCGTTCGCCAAACCTCCTCCCCTCCCCTCCTCGGGGACCCCTCTCCCTCTCTCTCTCCGTCAGTGAGTGCTGCACAAGACTGATAAAAGGCCGAACACACGTCAGCATCTATCTATCTGTGTGTTCTGCCGTCTAAACAGAGACGACCGACACGCCCCACACACGACCGACACACCACACACGGACTGTCCTACCATCTATCGGCCGACACACTGACGGCCAGAGCTAGGAGCTAAACAAACGCGCCAGACCCAGCAGACCGAGGCTGTGCTGTGCTGTCACCCCATGTGTGTGCCCTCCGAGCCCTTGTCTGTCGACGACCTCAGGTCGACAACCGGTGCGTCGTTGGGGGTGAGTACGGTCGTCTGCTGGTCTTGCTGCAGGAGGGAGGGTGGGGGGGCATCCTTGGACGGGCCCTTCTTGCTGCTGCTGCTGCTCTTCTTTGCTTGTGTCTTGGGGGCCGACTGGACGAACCGCTTGTCCCAATCGCTGATGCACACAGCACAGCCACACTACTCACTCGTGTGCGCCAACCGTGTGGTCCTTGTGCTGTCTGCCGGTGCTGTGTATACCACACCGGTAAGAAGGGTCGTATACGGCGTTGGTGGTCTGCTCCTGCTCGTGTATTGTGTCGGTGTCTATGGTGGTGGTGTCGGTGGTGGTGGTGACGGGAGGCGGCTCATCGAAGTCCTGTCGCAGTCGCTGCAGCTCAAACTGGCGCCGCTCGACCTTCGCGCGACGATCCGCCTCCATCGCCTGCACAGCAGACATCAATCAAACTTGTGAAGTGGAAGAGGGCCGGCTTTCGTGGGTAGGATGCCGTCCGTTGTCTGGTGTGTGTGACCTTTTCGTTTTCTGCCCTTGCGGCGGCGACTTGTGCATTGTAGCTCTGGAGTATGTCCTTGTAGACCATCTGCTTGGTCCGGCCCTTGCCGCCCGTCTTGACGTCCATACCGCTCGCCCTGCAAAGCAAAACAAAGCAGCCGGGCGGTGCCAACGACACACAGGTGAGGTGGTGAGTGGATGGGTGGTGTGTGTGTCCGTGTGCTGTGTGTCTTGTCTGACTGACTTGACGAAGTTCCTGAGTTCGGTCATGGTGGATTCTCTGGTGACGGGCAGATACCGCCATATGTCCCACGGGTCGTCCTTCTTGCGGGGCTCGTTCGGGCGACCCTCTATACACACACACACACGCAGAGAGAGAGAGAGAGAGAGAGCTCCATGGTGTGGTTCCCTCCTTCCTCTGCGACCGACCCACCTCTGAGTTCCAGTTCGCCCTCGATGATTCGCTCGAACGAGACGATGAAGGGCAGTGCGATGAGCGATGCCGGCAGGATGATCTCGAAACCCGCGCAGTCGCTTATCAGCGGCTGGAAGATCGCACTCACCAGTATCGCTGACCGGACACACACAGACATAGCTCATACATTTCCTTTGCTGCCTGCTGTGGGTGATGGGATGGAGGGGTGACCCCCCTACCTCCGAGTGCCGATGCGTAGTCTGGCGCCCCCACACGGCGGCTGAAGACAAGCAGACCGCAAAACCTAAACACACACACACACAGACAACCAAAGCCAGGGGATGAATGAAATGAGTGGACGGCGTACGAATTGCCTGTGTGTGCAGGATTGATTTGAGTCCCCCGAACGAACTACTTACGATGCGAGGAAGGTCCAGTTCCGCGCCAGTAGCTCGTTGAAGAACAACAGGATGAAACCAGCCCTGATACACGAGATACACGACACCACACGACACGACACGCACAATCCATCAATCAATCCCGAAGATACATACCCCTCCCCCTCCTCCCTCTCTCCCCCTCCTACTGCACTGCACTGCCTGACCGTATGGTGAGCTGTGAGCAGTTGGACCAGGCATTGCGCATGAGCGGCACCTGGAACCACTCGGGGAACTTGACCTCCGCCCGGGACAGCCGCACCATCTCGAGGAAGAAGCCGTCCAGGTCCAGAATCCCCTTGCCCACTCCGCCGCGAGAGGGCGGGGGCGCCAGCCTCGCGTTGAACTGCTCGTCGGGGTCCACCAACATGCGGTCGCGGGGGAGGGGGAAGTCACTCGGCTCAGCTGAGGAGGAGGAGGTCTTGAAGGAAAGCGATGCATCTTGCTGCTGCTGCTGCTGCTGGCCCGATGTGGCCGTGTGCTGCTTGGGGGAAGATGACATCGCGGTGAGGCGGGGACGGGCGGAGCGTGCATTTTGGAGGGGGAGGGAGGGGACCGCAAAGGCAGGGCGGCGATGGTCCGACGCTGACGCGGCGACGAGGCCACATGCGACTGCAGGTGATCAAATACGCAACACACACGCACGCAGCTGCAATGAGATGAATCTGCTCATGCTGCGATTCCGTGGCCGTCTGTCTGTCCTCACCTGTCGCCAGCAGCAGCGATGCAATGCGGCGCGGCGATGAGGGATGAACAAGATCTGCCCGCTGCTGAAAGCGGGCTGCTTCCGGCATGAGATCTATCATCGGACGACAGGTCTGACGACGTCTAAGCCATCAGAAAGAGACGAGCGCATCCTCCAGCTCGCAGAAATGCGAGCTTAGAAGTGTTTTCCTCACTTTCCTCCCCCTTTTTCTTCCCCTCCTCCCCCCGTGACCCACCTGGCTCGTTCAGTTGAATAGACACCGACAGTAAGTGTCGTGTAGTCCGGTTTGTCGAGGGCATCGCATCCCATGCATGCCCACGGAGGTCAGGGACCTCCCTCAGGAGCTGCACAGCTGCCTCATGGCGCCCACATGATGGTGAGGGGGTGGGTGAACACCGCACGCACGAAGCTCATGCACCGAATGGGGAGGTGGGGAGGGAGTGCCTCTCAGTCATCCATGGGGTGTCAGAAGGACCCACTTCGCTCATCCCATGGTGTCTGTGTGTCCTGTCCTGTCAGGCCGGACAAGGTGGTCGCGATGGCATGTGGCAGCCTCCCCCCCCCCCC